AGGAGTAGCAGCGTTAGTTACCACTTTTTTTTTTTTTTCTTTTGTGTCCCAGGAGGAATCCATTATGGATATCCCCGGACCCTGGGAGGATCCGGGGGTTATGTGGGACTCTCACCCACTAAACCTCCTGAGGGACTTGTCTGTCAGCTGGGCTTAGGGAGCAGGGGGTCCGGAATGACACCACCACTGCTTCGTTCCCCCCCCCCCCCCCCGCGCCACCGTTAGTTACCACTGTGCTATAGAGTGTTAAATTTTCGCAGGCATTTTCTAATCTTGAAATGCCTTGTTAGCCGAAATAAAAAAAAAAAGACACGTGTCTAATGTTTCTCGATGTACCACACGTGTGTGCAAAGTCTGCAAGAAGATCGGCGAATAGCGTACAGTGTTACTTGCGCGAGCGGCGCGGCGTAAACATCGATCGGTCACTCGACGGAAATCTCGACGCGGAATTGTCCATGCCACGTAACACACCGAATAGAATCTGATTTCGATCACCCGATGCGCTCGCTCCCGCTCGCGGCTCCCTCGGCCACGGAAACGTCGTAAGCGGCATAGCGGGGGAGGCCGCTCGGCGGCGGTAGAGGCGGAGTTATTTTCCGCGCGCCGCCTTTGTCGGGGAATATTCCCGCGGAGGAATTCACGGAGAGTGCTCTGTCGATACGCGACGTCGATAGTCTTGTCCGATGCGTCGTCGTCGTCGTCGTCGTCTTCGTCGCTCGTGCCGCGCCATTGCCGCAACATTGAGGCGATCGACGCGATCGCAAATTAAGTACGAGAGCGCGCACGCGCGCCCAATCAACGGCAGCGATAACGCAAGTCGCAGGATCGATCGCGACTCTTGCGAAACTGGAATCGATAATCAGACGCTGCTCTTATCGTTTATTTTCTCTTCGCCGATAATTGGCTAAACTTTGAGGAGTTGTGTGTATGTTGCGCGCGCATGAGAGCGGTGCTTTTCCCGGGCGCATGGATTTATCGCGCGACACCCAGCCGAGCGGATCCTGCTAATTAATCGCAGGCTGGCTGATAGGGGACGATAAATAATCCGCGGGGAACTGCCCGGGCATCGAGATTACCGCCGTCTCGGAGGAAAAACGAGTCGCGAGCGTCTTCGTGTCGCGCGTGTCGTGCGGCGCCTCGGGGCGTTTTCTGAGTATCTTCCGGCAGTTTTCCTCCTTTCGAAATGGACAATGGAAGAACGTTATTCAAGCACGAGAAGGAGAATGCCTGTAGCTCGGTCGTGTTCGCTCTTTATTCTTGACTAACGTCGGACGACGTTAGGGAAACATCGATCGCTCGCCATGTCCGGGGATTCGCTCGAGAGGCGAGTCGAGCTGTGTAAACGTTCGGCAGGGCTCGTGCCGATCGGCACTGATGCTCTTCGATATCGCAAAGTGTGAATCGATTATGCAGTATGTATGTGTACGTGTGTATGCGTGAAGCAGCAATTCGCAGCAGCGAGACGCGGCTTCGTTCTCGATGCGTTCTTCCTCGGGGAGAAATTCGTCCGGACGAGAGTCGTCTTCGCGCACACTAAAAGCGGAGAGAGATGTTATAATCGATAATTTTAGCGTCCGTCGCGCGAGACTCGCGACTGACACACACACACACACACACACACAAGCGCATCGGTGCTCCATCACGTACCGGTAAATTTAGATTCGCTTGTAATTGGCGCCTTGACTCTCGCCTGAACCTCACGCCCGATTGTCATATCCGTGAAATCACGTCGATCGCGCGCGACGTGTTCAATTTTCCCAGGACAATGTCTGCGCATGTTGAATCGTGAATTAATGCCGCTGGCGCTTTTATCCACGGTATTGTGAGCGTCGTTGGGTATCCTGCTCGCTTTTTTATTCTCGCTCGGCGATTCGCGACGATCACAGTTTCCGCGGAGGGCACAATAGGCGGGGGGGGAGAGGGTTCGTTTTATACGAAAGGCTGGAGAGGCTTGCTCCGAAATCGGTTCCGGAAACTTTTCAGTTACAAGATTCGTAGGCCTTAAACTAACTTGGACTAAGTTAACTTAAACCAACTAAACGTTTCGTAATTCATCAGCTGATCACGCTTGGACGCACACAGACGTGTTTCTGTTTACAAACTTGGTCTTAGCTATTAATTTTGTAATGTCAGATAGAGGAGAGTGCACAGATTTTTATTATTTATCACCTGGATAATTAATCAGTTGATCAATTACATAGTATGTAAATTTAAGGTCCACCTTGTAATTAAAACCAAAGTTTCTGAAACCGATTTGAGGACAGACCTTTAGTTTACGTTCCGTAATTGGTCGACTCATCACGCTTGAACATTCACATATACTACTTCTGTTTATAAATTTGATCATAGCTGTTAATTTTTTTATAATTAATTAGATAGAGGGATGAATATATTTTAATACCTATTATCTTGATAATTGATTAGCTGATCAACGGAGCGTATCTCAATTTAAGGCCTACTGAATTCTTGCAACTAGAAACAAAGTTTCAGAAACCGATTTGAGAACAGACCTTTGATTTTTAGATTGCGTTCCGTAATTGGTCAGCTGATCACGCTTGGACGTTCACAGGCGTGTGTATGTTAGAAAGCAAAGCGGTTTTGAAAACGGTTCTTTTCTAGTGACATTGGGAATTCGTATAATTGTGAATTTGAGAATCACTGTTTGACCAAACTGCGTCGTAAACCAAAAAATATCGCAGATCTCTCTGACCTCAATCAATGCGTTGGGGTTAGAGGGACTTGCGATCTTTTGCGTAAGTCCTTGAGCAGTAATTCTCAAATTTCACAATTAGACTAGTTACTAACGTTTGTAAAAAAAAAAAAAAACTGTCGAAACTGTTCTGCTTTCCAATGTACTATTTCTATTTACAAACTTGATCGTAGTTATTAATTTTGTAATATTAAATAGAGGAATAAGTAGATTTTTATTGCTTATTTCCTGGATGATTAATCAGCTGATGAATTATGTAGCATATCTCAGTTTAAAACCCATCAACCTTGCAACTATTATACTATAAGAAGCAATTTCCAAAACCGATTTGTGGGGAGCCTTGAGGCCTTTAAATGCGTTCCGCAATTGATCAGCTGATCACGCTTAGACACGTTCACAGGCGTGTACTACTATTCGCAAACTTTTAGCTACTGTTTTGGTCATATTAGAGAATCGGATATATTTTTTATTGCTTATCTTGATAATTAATGAACCGATCAATTACGGAGCGTATCTCAATTTAAGGCCTGTCAATCTTGTAACTAAAACCAAAGTTTCCGAAACCGATTTGGCAATAGGCCTTTAGATGCGTTCCGTAATTGGTCAGCTGATCACGTTGGACGTTCATAGGTGTGTACTATTTCTGTTTACGAACTTGATCTTAGCTATTAATTTTGTAATATTAGATAGAGGAATGAATGGTTAGAAGAAAAAGAAGAAAAAAAAGAAGATAGGGGAATGGATAGATTTTTATTGCTTTCTGGATTTCCTGGATGATTAATCAGCTGATCAATTATGCAGCATATCCCAGTTTAAAGCCCATTAACCTTGCAACTGGAAGCAGTTTCGGGACAGGCCTGCGACAGGATGTGTTCCGTAATTGATCAGTTGATCACACTTAGACATCCACAGGTGTGTACCACTATTCACAAACTTTTAGCTACTGTTTTGGTGATATTAGAGAATTGGATATATATATTTTTATTGCTTATCTTGATAATTGATGAGCCGATCAATCACGGAGCGTATCTCAGTTCAAGGCCTACTTACTAACCTTGTAACTAGAAGCAAAGTTTCCAAAACCGATTTCGGAGGAGGTTTGAGATCTCGCGTTGACACGTCAACTGCCATGCCATGATATTATCGCATCCCGCTAAGCTATGCTAAGCTAGAACCAACCGTGTACATGAAGGGACGTTGATGTGATCGAATTTCTTGTTTCTCGACGACTAAGCGGAAACTCGTTTACAGAGACAGAAGGTCCCTTCATTAGAAAGTCTTCGCTTCAGTCGGCCGCTCTCGGTTATCTCGAGCGAGTTTTAATGCGGTCGAGTGTCCCAACGAATGTTTTCGTTCGCGATAACAGAGATATCGCGTCTCGTCACTGAGACTTTTTGCTCGGTTGGTCCCCCCGTTCGCTTACACAAACTGAGATATCTTTTCCGCGCATAACAAGTAAAATATCGGCGTAGCCGATAGGAGAGCCGATGAAGCGCGAGCTGACGACGAGTATACGCGCGTCGCGAATCGCATTTATTCAGCGCAGATTCGCACCTCGACTCGCACCTGAGTCGCGAGCGCTGAAACGATGAGCGTCGTGTTGTGTGCAAGGCAGTCAACGTGCTCACACGCGTGCTGAAGTGACCGAAGACAGCTCTCGCGGAAACTGCTCGAGGAAAGTCGCGCGAGGATCCCTTGGATCATCAAACTCATCAACTCTCGCGAGAACCTGCAGCCTCGTGGTGATTAGGCCGACGAGCAGGAAGAGGGTCAGGATATTGAAGAAGAGGATGAATCGCGTCGTCAGGAACGTCCGTCGTCCCTGCGTCATCAGGCCGCGGTGATTGTTGTACTCGCGTATCCAGTTCTGCACCATGACCATGGTGTTCGGGTCCAACGTTTTGGGGCTCGGGATGGTCTGCCAGTGAAATCGACGGAAGGTATTAACGAGACCGTCGCTCGCGGTCGCGTGCAGCTCGTACGGTTGCCAGATTTTTGCAAGTCGATTGTAGGGGAGGTTGGCCGAGAATGCTTTTTTGCTGAGCGAAAGGAAAGGAGGTCGTGGACGTGCGTCTGTCGTCTTTCCGAACGTCAGTTTTTAACTGCATATATTGTACATTTTATACATACAGGGTGTCCTCAGCGTAACGGTCCGCAAGGCCGGTTTTAGACATTTCCGATTTAGGAATTCCGGTTTAGGGAAAAGGTTGCAAGGTGAATTTTTACTTAGCGCAGACTTGCAATAACAAAAGGTAAAAAATATTGTTCTTTTTTCTTTTCTTCTTTTTTATAAAAAATCCGAGATCACCTTGCATTTCTTGGACGGTACTGTGCACTTTCTTTATGTAACATTTTAGAAGACTCGAAATTCAACGCGCATTATCATAAATATCCGTACATCATGTAAAGGAAGAATATATGATATTGTTTAAAAAATTCAAGATGATTTCTGTATGAGAGAAAAACATTTTTTTTCCTTATGTTATGGCAAGTTGTAGCTTACATGAAGCAGTTGAAAATTCATCTTGTAATTTTCCCTTCAAACCGTGTGAAAAATCGTATCTAAAAAAATCGCACCGTTACGCTGAAAACACCCTGTATATTTTACACGTATACAAAGTGTCCGGGATCTTTTGGAAACGAAAGAAAGTCGAGTATCATTTTGCAAAAATCGCAACAGTTATTAAGTTATTAACGATTGAAAATGACCACATCTAGAGGCTCTTTTAATTGACAACTTGAACATTTGCATACTTATTTGCAAACTGGTAAAGGATTTTTTCGTTCAGAATGACCTGATCTGACAGGTTCAAGATTCAGGGTTCAGAGTTTTATGTACTTATATCTATCGCTATAGATACACAATAGCCGTCATACAATTGTAGTAGATTAGGTCATTCTGAACAAAAAAGTTCTTTACCATTTTGCAAGTAAGTATAACTTGATAACCACTACGATATTTGCAAAATGGTACTTGACTTTTCTTCTCAGTTTGACCGGATTGATCTTCACAATTTTTCACTTCCGAAAGAAGTGTACTTCTGTACACCCTGTACATTATCGACAAAGGTAAAAACGTCACCAAGTGACAGTGACAAGTCGCTGTGACAGCGCATTCGACAAGCAAGAGAAGGAGGAAGGTCCTCCGACACTGTAAGGAAAGACAAATAGCATGCTTGGCAGGACATGAAAATTTTGGCTAGAAACATGGACAACCTTCCCCTCCCCCCAGAGGGGGGCATCTGGCAAGCCTACGCGCTCTGCAAGCAACGGTACGCGCCACGTTACTGACAAAGTCGCATGCCAAGGCCACGGAATTCAGCGGCGCCCTGCATAGCGGGCAAGGCGGCGGCGCAGGTGTGATCCTGACGTCGCAGTAACTCGCCAGGCAATCCGCGCACAGCAAGTGACCGCAAGGCGCTTTCACGCCGATCTTCGGCACCCCGAGGCAGATCGGGCAGACCTCGCCGTCGTATGGGACTCTCGGGCCGCCCTTGCCGCCGTGGCTGTCGACGGCAGAAAGAGGCGGACTTTCTCGAAATCGCGCTGAAGACTTGAGGCGAGGGGAGAATATCGAGGAAGAGCCGGCCTTCGTCCTGGACATCTCCAGCGAGTGCGCTCGAGTGCCTTTCTAGCGAAGTTGAATTCCACGTGCGTGAGCGTGACGTTTTCAAATGTCGAATCCGAAAGGCGCATCTGACGGTTCGCTGGGTGTCCAGTAGACACGTCTGTTCTGCGACTCTCAACGACAACGGTGTTGCTGTCGTTATTTTATTTTACCTGTCGTTATTTTTATGCTGTCGTTATCTTATCAGGTCGTCCTTGTACATTGCCTACGTTTTGCGTAGCTTCCCAGTCATATGTTATATGCAGGCCAACACAGCGCTGTGACAGCAACGACACAAAGTCGTGCAAAGGCGCAGAATAGATCCTCGGCAACGGAAATCGCACCTGAACTCTTTCGCTTCACCGTTCAGATGATCGCTCGCGTCGTCGTCGCCGTCGCCGTCGCCGTCGCCGTCGTCCGGGACGTCCCGACTCCCACGCGAGCTCGACCTCGCGCCGGGCGAGTTTCTCTTCTTGAACAACAGGATGTAAATGCTGAGTCCCAGCGCGAGCAGCGCGACCCGAAGAGCGTATCCTTCCCATCCCGCGGCTGCGAGCGCTACGAAGGCGGAGGTCCTCGCTCGGTATGGCTCGCTGAGGTTCATCTCTCGTCGTCCCCTCTCGTCGTCTCCTCGGCTCGCTATCGATCCGCGCCACTGCCGATCGCGATCCTCCTCCGTGTTCGCTCTACTGCTGGAGCATCATCGCGCAGGCTTCGTCAGGAGGATTTTTCAGAATCGACGAGAGGTCGCCGCCGCGGCCGATCGATGGCGGATCGACGTGCGGGACGGTGACACTTGACAGGCGATGGCGATGGCGATGCTCGACTGTCGAACGAGAGTGAAATTCGCCAGCTGAGGCTGGCTACCCGATATCGCACGCGTCGAGTGACAGAGGGAGGGAGGGGGGGGAGGGTGACAGTCGCATCGGCACGCAACGCGCGCGCTCTCGTTCGCGGACGTAACCAATTGGCGAAATCACTCTGGTCTCTGTGTCAGCGGCCCACGCACTTCCTTCTGAGAAAAGGCGACTCGCAGCCTCGCCCACGTGCGAGCGACAAGCGAGGCGAAAAAAGAAAAAAAAAAACATTCCACGCTTGAGACGCGATGAATTGGATTAAACGAGTCGGATGCACGCCACGTCGGCGTGAAACTTTGCACCGCCGACGACGACGACGACTGTGCGCGTTTCCAGTCGCGACGCGACACACAAAAGCTTTTATTCAGAAACACGCTGAAAAGCACCGTACACATAAATCTGCATCTCCGTTTGTCCCCCCTCCTCCCCCCCCCCCTCTTGCTCCCCTTTATCGAATTCTTTTATTCCGCGCCGGTGCCCACCGCTGGATACGCGCGCGTCATTTTCTCTCACACGCACGCGCGTCCGCGTCTCCGTGTTGGTGAATCGGGAGGATGAAACGTTTGTTGTAAATTAACGCACTCGGCCGCGGCGAAGGAGAGAGAGAGCGAGAGAGGAACTGCGATAAAGAGGTCTCTCTCTCTCTCTCTCTCTCTCTTTCTCTCGCGATGACTCAGATCGAGGGAAGAAAAATGGGAAATCTCTGCGTGGAACGACGCAGCCCGACTTGTTATGCGGTCTGATAAGAGCGTGTCCGGCATAACTCGAAAACAATTTACCGTAATGACTTAGGAAGAAGATAACGAATGAATGAATTTGAGAACATTTTCTCCCAGCTGCCTCCAAGCGACCGATATTAATTTGGTGGTTATATTAACCCTTTGCACTCGGATGTCCCCTCTGAGGGGATTCACAGTGGTGTCTCAACACTTCTCTAATGCCAACACTTGAAGAAAGCGATACTTGGTTTCAAAGCTACACTATTTAATATGACGCGATTCCTGTTTGCACATTTTCCTAAAAAGGTGCCGCCGAGGGTTGCTGGTAGGCAACTCGCGAGATGGCTCCGAGTGCAAAGGGTTAAGTTTGATGATGAGTGGGTTGCCTCTCTGGAGATGTCTTTTTTCCACCGTAGAATTCACTTAGAGAAATGGAAAAGGTACACACACACACACACACCCACCGCTTGATTAGAAGTGGAATGCTTCATTGTTGACAACTTGTCCAGAGTCGCCTTTGTTTTCAATAATTGCCTGGTGTCTCCGATCGCTTTTCCGTGTGAATTTTATAGCGTATTCTCGAGCTGAAAGTCCCCAGAGATCGATTGAATTCGTCGAGCCGACTTCTCCTGAGCTTTCAAATTTTCCTTCCATCCACACGACGCTTGACCTTCACCAGCGTCCAGACGTTATCGATGAGGTTTACATCCGGTGTCTGGTGGCGTAGGTCAGCGTCGCTTTCTCACTCCCATGCGATGAAAAAACAACTTGAATGTTTGGCTCGTCCTCTGGTAGTAACCATTTTCCGTTTTTCCTTTCAGGCCACTTCTGGGGGCCAGATGCTGATAGAGTCCTCTCATAAGTTCTGATCATTTTGGCAACGTTCAAGTTGTCCGCGAAGATATGTATGCAAAGTGCCAAATCCTTGCTTAGAAGAGCAGCTTCAAACGTGTATCTTTCTTCTCGATTCTCTCGCGATTCACTCGCGTCACTTACGTACACCTTGCACCTTCTTCGTGTATCCAGCAGCCGCTCGGCATGACGTTCTCGGTCACGTACGAAGAAACGCGGCTTCAAATTTCGCGATCATGCGTGGCGAAGAATCCCTCTACCAACTCCCATTGGAATCTTTAACGTTCCCACGTAAGAGTTTCGCCGAACACATTCTTATGAAACAACACTGCAGGCCCGCCGAATCGTGTTCACCCTGCCTTGCGGACTGTCTTGCGAATCTCCATCACCCTCAACTGAGAATATTACCCTTGAGATATCTGGATTTGCTTCCAGCTACAGCAGCACTATCAGCTTCAGCAGCAGATACTCTGGCAGAAGTACGAAGCACAGGGACGACAATTGCAAGAGCAGCAAATGCAGGAGCAGCTGAAGGTGAGTCCAATCGTACACGTGCTCGTTCGTGCTCACTTCGCTGCGAATTCTGTTTCTCCCGCCTGTCGACCTTGTCGAAAGCACGAAGTTCCGTCGACTCTCGCGGAAACGCGAAATTTAATCTGTTGACTGATGAGCGCCCACGGTGAACGCTGCAACGTATCGTCGCAACGTGTCTAATTAATTTAAAACGTGTAAAACGCAACCAAGTGCGGCTGAAGAATTAAACGCGCGATCGATAGGGAGCCGATGAAACGAGCTGACGAGAACTACGCGAGTTGCACTTACTTATCGGGCATTTCTGACGATTCGAACTCGAGTGCAATTTGTACCTTGAAATTCCTCCGAATCATGCTCGAGATTAATTTCCTATTGAGAAGGACTTCGTGTGGCAAGGTCAATCCCGCTGCGATAGGTCAACGACCGCGCCCGCCCGGCGATTCCCCCAAACGAATTTGAGGATATTCTCACCCAGCTGCCTCCAAGCGGCTGAAATTATTTGCGGTTTCGGGGGGTTATTAATTTTGATGATGGCTGACGATGAATGGATAAGTCTTTTTCTTCGGCCGTAGAATCCACTTATTGCCGGGGGAGATGGGAAGAGGTTGTGGCAAGTGCTGGAGAATATCTTGATTGAAATAATGTAGACTTTACGCTAGACATTTATTATTATTGGAAACGCTTGACATCTTTATTTTATAATATTTTTCAATTTATTTTATTTTTCGTTTATTACGGAAACGGTAGGCTAGGCATTTACTGAAACCCGTCATTTTGATAAATTAAAATACAGTATTTCGGTAGTAGCATTAATTAATTTTATTTTGTATCGCTACATTTTTATTAACAGAGATTGGTAATATATTATTTACATATAAATTCTGTTTTGACTATACATTCATAGAGTTCGCTAAAATCTGCATCAGATTCGACATCTGATGGTCTTTCACTTATACCGGTCAATTTTTGTAGAGATTCAACAATTTTCTGAGATCTGTTTATAATAGCCCTACTCTGAAGGAAAATAATATGTCAGGAAGTGCTTTTTCACGAATAGTTTTTAAACAAGTATCTTTGGAAATTCAAACTTTTGTACCGAAAATAAAAATAGAATTCCACAATTGTACGACGACACAACTACCTTCTTACGCCAAAAACTACTTTGAGCTAATCACCAATGATAATTTCTGTTCTATTACTGCATACAGCGAGAAAGAAAAGGCGATAAACTAGAAACATGCGAAAACATTTTCTTACCGTATCGCAAGCAACAAATTACACGGCACATTATTTCATTTCTCAACAGACAAAATACGGTTTTCGTTTTTCGTTCTCTTTGTATCTTCCTCTATAGTATCAAATTACTGCACGTTTTATCGGTTATAATCGGTTTTATGGTTTTATCGGTTACAATTTAATAAATATAGACGTTCCGGACGCATAACGCAAAATTTGTTAGTCCGTCAATTTGACGAATGTCCGCATGAATAGGTTAGGTTATATTATACAAGGTGCACTCCGATTAACGTCGTAGAAAATGGTCGGATGAAAAAATATTTTTGCCAAAAGTTGTTTGAAGGAGAACATAAGACAATTATATTATTTTGTTTACAAATGGCGCTACTTTCGAGATATTCAGTGATTATCACTTTTCTCAAATGGAAACCACAATTTTTTATTATTAATTTTTATTATATCATCTTTTTCTATCACTTAATTTGGACAACTTTTGTCTGAAACATTTTTTTATTTTCCTAATATTTTTTTGAGATATTTAAGGAAAACTTGGTAATTTTTCCAATATTTAGATATCTTAGTAACTATTTATGAGAAAAAAAAAGTGGTATTTATTAGACGTTAGATTTTTGCTTTAATTGGTCTCAAGAATATACTGTTAGTGCCAATAGTGCTCCAATTTTTGTTACCTTGTTGACTTTTGAAAATTACAAAATCATTGAATTAAGACACTATTGTAACAGCATATTCTTGAGAACAAATAGAATAAAAAAATTTAATACCCCCCTTCCTCCTCTACTTTTTCTTCCGACAAATAGTTATCGAGATATTGTAAGCTAAATATTGAAAAAAATGTGTCAGATAAAAGTTGTTTAAATTAATTGCTAGGAAAAGATGGTATAATAAAAAATTGGGATTTCCATTTAAGAAAAGTGAATATCTCAGAAGTGACGTCTATAAATAAAATGATATCGCTGTGTCTTATGTTCCCCTTCGAACTAAACAATTTTTGTCTAAAACATTTTTCCATCCGACCACTTTCTGCAATGTTAATCGAGCTGCACAATTAAAATGGGACACCCCAATATACAGTTACGTGAAAATAATAAACCGGCGGATAAATTGAATTGAGATATATATATATATATATATATATATATATATATATATATATTCGTATTATTATATCAATAAAAGTCAATATAATATTTCAAAAAAATAATATTTATTTCTCCTCTATTTTTAAGCGTGAAATCTGAAATCCGTGAAATTGACGGGTTCCGTAAATCTACCGTTAAATAATAAATAATAAACAGTCTATTCTCACATCAGCAGTCCTCAAAATCAACCGAAACATATTTAGACGGCCGGATTCCCGGCGCTTGCTATTGCCTCTCTCGCGTTTCGAGAACTGCAAGGAAAAGGATCAAAGCATCATCCTCTCAACCGGTCCTTCCGCCCGGTGTATCTATCTGTCTAATAACGCTACCTCCTGCCGCTTTCATCCTCGCGCGTAAAGTCGCCTCAGAAGCTCGTCAACGTCTCGCCGGAAGCGCGATCGTCATTCGCGATGTTACTCGCTGTTAGCCGGTTAGTGGCCACAGCAGCGACCGCGCATTACACGCGCATTATCCGCCCGTAATGGAGAATCCTTCTCGCGTTTTACTCGACATCCTCCCGTCCCCGTCGCGCCGCGGTGACGGCCGCAGCGAACGACGACTAGTCGCGAATGTCGTCGTCGTCGTCGTCGTCGTCGTCGTCGTCGTCGTCGTCGTTCTGTTCCACCACCACCACCACCACCACCACCACCACCACCATCATCACCACCGCCGACACGACCGACAATACCGGCCACCGCTGCGGCCATTCGCGTCTCCCTGGCGGTCGAAAGTCCAGCGGAATATTCCTCTCATTGTCGGCGAAGCGCGTAACGTGCGTCACGAATGCGATAATAACAATAACGGTTGATCATGAAAATAAACTGGGCATCGTCGCGCCGTGGAATCCCGCGATTCCCGCCCGAGTACGCTCGGCTTGTTCTCCGCCTCGACAGACACGCGGACTCGCGCACAACCGGAGAGAACACCGAACATCGACGCGGTGACGAGGAAAAATGAGAAGGCCACCCCGGGGGCAGTGACAAATCGCCTGCCCTCGGTCGTAGATTGCTCGTAGACGCCGTTCGTTTCCATCGTGGAAGCCCAATTTTCCTGAAGACGAGGTTTTCGGCTCGAGTCGGGGGGACTCGCACGCGTGAGATTGACCGGAAACGGCGATGAAATTCTACGCACGTGGTTTGGATCGAATCGAAGCAATTCCTGGAGAAGTTTGTGCGAGTCTCACAGCCGAATCCGCAGGAGTCGAAATCGCGCCCTTGTTGAGTATTATCCCTTTATTGCACGTTTTTTTTTTTCTAATGAATATAATCTTGTGAAACTTGTTACTCGGGAGTTTTCAGGGTCGATGAATACAAATTCGAACGTGAGAAATACGAAATTCGAAATGGCGGATCTAATATAGCGGACGAAATTTTCAAAATCAGTCGAATTCCCTTGAAATTTGTGCTATTTAAAGATTTTCGAGGCTGCTAATTACAAATCCGTTATCGAAAATTCGAAACGCTAGAGATATGACGGATATATACGACAAGGTTAGATTGACATCGGTTTGGTTGCCCGGTTCCCTTCAAGTGCAGTCAGCTTGTTTCAGTTCTATAATTATGTTCGCCATATGAGATCCGTCACTTTGAATTTTGTATTTTTCATACCGGATTCATATTCAGCGACTTCGAAAACTCCCGAGTAACAAGTTTCAAGCAAATTCGACTGATTTTGAAAATTCCGTCCGCCATATTGGGGCTGCCATTTTGAATTTTGTATTTTTCACAGCGGATTTGTATTCGGCGACTCCAAAAACCTCTAGATAACAATTTTGAAGTATACGCTATTACTTAAAATTTCATGTAAACGAATTTATTCTCCAAAAACGATAGTTTTGTTTAGTATATATGCTTATGCTTATTAATAACAGATCACAAATCAATATATGCTTATTAATAACAAATCACTTATTTGAAATGAGCTTAAAAGTTGATGTATATACCAGGTCTGTTAATATGAAACCGAAATTTGCCCATAGATGGCCCTAGCTGTCAACGTAGTTACTGTCAAACCGCGTCATTGGCACCATTTCCATTTATTGACATCTGACAAAGATTTTCAACTCACAACAATACAAGTCTCATACAACAGCATAGTTTGTAATAGCGTTAAACATGTCGAATTTTGTGCCTGGAAGCTACGATTTGCGGACAGCATTGATTTTCTGTTACCATTTGAAGAAAACTGCTGCAGAATCGCATCGAATGCTTGTCGAAGCTTACGGTGAGCATGCTCTTGGTAAATCACAGTGCTTTGAGTGGTTTAAAAAATTCAAACGTGGCGGTTTTTACGTGAGAAACGAAGAACGTGAAAGACCACAGAAAAAGTTTGAAGACAGCGAATTGCAAGCATTGTTGGATGAGGATGACGATCAAATGCAACAACAACTCGCGGATCAATTAAATGTGACACGAGAAGCCATCTCCGTACGTTTGAAAGCCATGGGAAAGATCCAGAAGATGGGAAAATGGGTTCCACATGAACTGAATGGAAGACAGCAGAAAAATCGAAAAACCACTTGCGAAATGCTGCTCGCCAGGTACAAAAGAAAGTCATTTCTCCATCGAATTGTGACTGGCGATAAAAAGTCGATATATTTTGAGA